ATGCCAATCTTTATCATTTGTACTTATTAAACTTCCTGACTGATACGTCGCCGAACTTCGTTCTTAAGATCCAACGTGGTTTTAACCAGCTGGCCACCTCTGCGTCTCCAGTGTCACAGAAGATAGGATTTTAGAAAAAATCTGTTCAAATGAGCAAAGTAGTGAAAGCCTCTTACTTGTTTGCTTCATACACTTCCTTGCATGATTGTACAGCTGAAATATAGAGCCTGATGTTAGAGCCGGATGTTTTCTATTGTTAAAAAAGTACGGAGAGGATATTTCAAACATATTCACGAGTTACCTTTTTCGCAGAATTCTCCGACGAAACTTTCTTTACAAAGACAATCAAAAGTGTTGGAGCTGAAATTCGGGATGCAGGTTCCTCCGTTTTGACACGGCGATGAAGAACAGGGAGACTAAAAGAGAGGAAATGACTGTTGAGGCTAGTGAACACTTGAACAGTACTTGCGATAGCTGTGAATAGGCAAACCTCGTCGAGAGCGAGTACGTTTACATGCTTTCCCTGGTAAATGCCTTGCATTAGAATTTTACCTCAATCATTAAAGTGTTCTTACCCGCAGAATGGAAAAATGATGCGAACTCGTGTTTTTGTGGTAGTTCCCAGCGTTTCTGTTCTTATCAGAAGACAACAATTCGCACCAAAGTTTTCCGTCTGTTCCATGAGAGGTGGCCATGTTTAAAGAGAGGCACAAATTATTTCTGAGGCACGCCAGGGTGCAATGAAACATGTCGAATATCGTCAACTTTCCGACCTGAGTAACGTCCAGATAATGGAACTCCTCTTTAAGAAAATAGCCTTGTTCAGCTGTTTGGTCAGAAGGGCCCCAATCTTGTTTAGCACTTTTCGTTCCTGCGTTGAGGAGAATAAAATGGATGTTAATAAGATTGCTATTACAATACTTAAACTGAGACAAGAACTCTCTGCATATCTCTCCCTGGTGGAGTAAGGCTTCTTGCAGCATTTGACATTTGATAAATGTGTTCAATTGTAACGCTATGCCCTTTTCTGTCTCCGAGAACGGAGTCAGAAAAGGCAGCAATTTCCGATGCAATCGTTTTTTGATTCTCAAATGAATAAAACTCCACATCCGAATCGAGGCAAACGATTACTATTCTCTTTTGAAATTGTTATTTAACACGATGACAGCCACAACCCATGTTATAATATAAAAGTGAAGATATGATCCGCTCAGGTGAGTTGCATGTGATGAAAGAAATTGCCAAAAAGGAGCCTGAGAAAAATCCGGGTTTCGACACCTTTCAAAAGTTGACATATTTATATAATTGTGTGAATTCTCAAAGCTCTCCGCTTGTTCCTCCCTGGTGGAATAAGGCCTCTTACCTCATTTGACATTTGATAAATGTATTCGATTATAAAGCTATGCCCTTTTCTGACTCCGAGAGTCTGAGCCTAATCTTTGATACAATCGTCATCAAATTCTCAAAAATAAAGAAGAAGATCCACATCCGAATCGACCACGTCGTGAGACAAACGATTATAATTCTCTTTGAAAAGTATTATTTACCACGATGACTAACCAAAACCTAGTTTACGATATAAAAGTGAATATGTGATCCTCCAAGGTGAGCTGTGATGAAAGAAATTGCCGTCATCATCATTCATTCTGTTCTTTAATTTGACCTCTGAACGTTTTGGAAAGAAAGCGTGGATATCAATAATCAACGCTAAAAATATCTATTCCGCCTTATTAACATAAATGTGAAAAAAATAATTCCCAATCTCAATTTCCCATTTATTTTTCCATTCCGCATTCCCCAATTCTGCTTTTAGTAACATTTCTTCGACGTCTTTCAAAATATAACGTCCTTCATATATTTGTATCAGTTCTCAAAATTCGATTTGAAATTGGGTCAAAATTTCTTCTGAAACATCCTATGCCCTAAGATAAATGTATTTTCACAGCCCCAATATATATTTGTTGGTACAATTTTGTGAAAACTGGAACTCTGAGTTTGAATAACGTTGGAGAAAAATTCCTCTTCATAGGCGATGATGAAATATTTGCAGAAAAGGTAACAAAAAAATAAAATAGCTTAAATCCAATAACCGATACAACTTCGAGTTGACAAATTATCATTTATAGCTCATTCAGCCAGACCGCATAACGGCCAATAAACCGTTATTTGTTTTTATCAGGTAACTCATCTCCCTTTGAAGACTTTGAAAGGTTTTGCCAATGTGCTACGACAAAACTCAGACAAATACAACAAATCGATAGAACCTTTCTTTTTTGGCTTACAGCAATTTCAGACACTTAGTTATGTAAAAACGGGCCTTAAGTTTGTTGTGACTTAATGGCAGACTTGTCACTTGTCCCCTTGTAAAATACGGCTTGAAAGTACTTAGTCGGGACCTTGATAATTGCTACAAGGAGTGCATGTGGCTAAAACCGGTTTTGTTTGGTTTCTAAAAATTCAAAGTTTTAAAAAGCGATTGTAAATTACCTGAAAAAGAGAAGGGTTATTCTGAAATATCGATGGTTTCGAATTATCGGCGAGGATTTGAAAAATCGGGGGTAACATTTGGGCCAGACAACCATTCTTTTGTTTGTTTCGGGTCATTTTCTTGCTTCGCACATTTTTTCATGGCATCTATTTGGTCAGCTGTTTGAGTTAAAGTTTTGTCATGAGCACTGATCACTTCCGCTCATATGAACTTTAAAAGCAACACAATTGTGCTGTCTCCATCTCATACTTTATCCACTTATTAAGATATTTTTTAGGCTATCTCTTCGTTCCTTTATCCTTTCAGCTCCTTTTCTTCTTCCTGTCAGTCTCGGCAAGACGAAGATAATAATCATAAAAAGATTCATTAACTTCTTTGCCTAAGAAACACGTTTACCTCCAGGACTTGTGCCTTGATTTATAGTGTCTGCTTTTCTTGGTAAATTCTGAAGCTGATAACTCAACAGGTTTAGCAAAAATTGCTAAAAAAAAACTAGAATATCATAGAGGGAATAAAGACAATCTAACCTGAAAAAAATTTGGCTGCAAGAGATGTAAGGAAGAGCAAGTGGAAAATTGTGGACATAATGGCTACTGCGTGCGAGCGAACGATCCGCGGTCATCCGCTGGGAGTGAGTCTGACTCTGTAAAGTGAAGTGAGTTTTTAGTTCTGCTTGTGACATAGGATTTTTCTTGTGTCACCTGACATTCGTGAGGTAATTTATATGATATTGGGCCGCTCGTGTCTTGATCCAATGGCTTGGTACACTCGGTAAATGTCATTAATTGAACGACACTGTCCTAATTTCGAGCTTTTCTTGTTTGTTAAATTAAAACTCTGTCGGCAAGTGGCGTAAAACAAGTGCGACCTCCGAACTGAAAAACTCGAGAAGGATGGTTTTTTTCATCAACTTGCTTATGTGATCCGGCCGGGAGATCACAAATGTAATGAAATCCGCCCTTAGGGTTGGGTCGCATTAGAGCGAATTCAAATATTTGTTAATTTTTCGCTGGCCAAAAATTGGCTAAAATTTTGCAATTTCCAATTTTTGGCATCGGTTGCATCAAACTAGTATTCTCTGACCAAAACTTTATTGATTGACACATGTCAATCACAAACCGATCTCCCTCTGTTAAAAGATAAAGAAAAATCATTGCTCGAATTTCTGTGCAAGATAGATCGTTGTCAAATGATTATCTTTGTGGCTTCCGTGTTTATGTGGAATTTTGAATGTGAATAAAGGTAGACAGACCGGCACGGGCTCCCCATGTGGCTTTTGTGGTCGCGTTGCACTATTGCCCTTAAATTAAATTTTTGCTCTCACAAGCATGTCTTTAAGGGATTTTCCCGTTTTGTAGCAGATGATCGGAGGTTTGTAAAAATTGTTTTCAGTAAGGGCTGATTATGTATTAGAGTCCAATGTTCCATCAATATTTGTTTCAAATTTTTAACTGCCGGGTGATACGTTGTGACAAAAGGCAACAGACATTCGTGACCTTTTGGCTTTTGTGTACGTGAAAGAGCCGATTGTCTAGAGGCGAAGTTGACCTCTGACAGAGACCTCTCTATAATGTTTTCTGGGTACCCTCTTGCTTTGAGGCCTTGTTTAAATTTCAAAAGGCCCTCTTCAAATTTTCCTTTCGAAGAGTTAGTTCTAGGCAATCTTATTGCTTCACCTTTAATGAAACCATATTTTACGATGAGGCGAAATGCGCAATTTGGTAGATCTCGGTGGGATTATAATCAGTTTTGATCTCCAAGATGGAATCTTTCCTCTTTACACGCTGTAGTATCGAGAAAAGTGATTTAGTTCTCTGATATTTCGGCCATTAATTTGATAGTAGGTCGCAAATAGTTAGCTCGTTTAATAAACCTATCTAACTTTTCCTGTTGCATGAGAATAAAGGTAAAGACAGACTGGTACGGACTCCCCATGTGGCTTTTGTGGTTGCGTCCCATTATCTTCTTCAAATTATCTAGAAAATCTATAGAAAAACTTGAGAAATATTTGGCAAAGCGGACTTGTCCAATCTCTTTGCAATATTCTTTTGATAAATAGATTGGGAATGGTTGTTTTTCTTCGTACCCAAATACATTAACATTAATGTTGTTCTGTTTTCCGATTCTGTTATACTGTTTTACGGATGCTGGAAATTCAATTTCTGAGTAATCCAACTTGTCAGGATACTGATTATCGGTTTTTTTTTTATTCTTTGGAGGTGTTTTTCTTGAGGCTTTAAATGTCTGATATGACACCATCTGAAATATTCATTGTCATTATTTTAAGGTTTGTCAATCCTTTAGCAGAATTCCTCAATTCAGAAGGTAGTTGGCTGGGCGATGATCCTTTCAGAGGGTTATATGGAAAAATGTTTGAATAATAACTGTCAGTTGATTTTATAGTCCAACCAGAACCTTCTGATATCCAAGTAACAATCTTATTTTGAATCTCTTGACTTGAAATTAACAAATCCTCATCAATATCTTTGGTGTTGATTACTGTTTTAGTTTTGCTGTTGAAGAATACTGTTTTGATAACTATACTATCTCCAGTATGCTTTTCAAATATGACACTCAAAGTCTCAACATATTTTAGATCTTTCATTTTATCCAACTGTTTCATGAGGTTAAATTGAATAGCTTTTCTTTTGTCCACACTTTGCTTTAATGGATCTTAATCAATCTCAAATGATTTGGTGTGTCCTTTCAGACTCTGTTTGCTCTATTTTGGTTCTTGGTGTTGGAACTGGTCTATCTACAATCTCCCTCTTTTTCTTTGGTGTTGGAACTGGTTTGTACCCATCTCTAAACTCAAGTGGTGGAGAGATGATGTTATCTTTATACTCCTGTACCATTTGTTTAACACTCCCTCGTGGTTTCGGGATTGGTCTTTTTGTTGTAGAAAATAGTTTGTCATCTGCGGTTATGTCACTATCCCTCACCATTTGTTTAATGCTTGGTTTGGGAGTTGATTCTACACTCTGTTTTAGCAGTTTGATAAATTTTGATTTACTGAGCTTTTTGAGATCAGCCTTATAATGTTTTTCATTCATTTTCATTATACTATACCTATACATAGACCTTTAAATGTTCCAAATGTTTAGTACGTTTAAATAAGTTGAAATAACCAGTTTGTGGACAATTCAAAATTAAAAAGGTGTTTAATCACCAGTGTTGCGTTGATACCTCTTGCTTTTTATATGTTTCCATTTGCCAGCCAATGTATAATTATGACTGTTTTTAAAAACATCACAATACCATTATTTGGAACTTCGGTTAGCGTCTTTTCGTTCTTCAAAAAGTGAAAAGTGAAAACGAATGGGCTTATAGAAAACTGTTTCACGGAACATTGAGGGCGGAGACATGGACAGAATGACAGGGTCAAAACACTCCTTTGCATAGCAACCCTGAGAGACAGAAAACGATTTGTTTGTTTGTTTGTTTTTTTCAAATCCAATTTTTTTTATTTTTGTAAAATACAAACAGTGGATATTCGAAAAATTTCATTTTCAAGGAAAAATTTGAACCAAAAAAAAAGGCCTTACCCTGGAAAATTTGTCTGGTTTTGTATCTCTATCACAGCACCAATGAATGGGTAAATGCTAACTGTGTTTTTCAAATTTGAAGATGTATATTTCAATAGGCCATTTTACAGTTGTGTACTTAGTTGCCAAGCCTTTGATTTGGAGTGAGGCTGAAGGTGACCTTGTTGTGATAGAGACCAGTTACTAGTTAGCATGATGACAAAGTAATTTGCATTCGAAAAACAGCAAGGTTTGTATCATGACAAGGTCACCCTTAGCCTTATTCCTGTTCAAAGGCTTGGCAACCAAGCACACAACTGTAAAATGGAATATTAAGAACGATTTGAAAGCGCGTATTATGAAGATTGCTTGATTCTCGAAAAGTCCAATTGACTCTTACTCGGAGAAAAGCTCCCATCATCACTTCCCAAGAGTGGGTAGGTGAACCTTGCTGCCGTGCGGGGACTTTGCTCGTCTGTTCTCAAATATGGATTTTACTACAATTAAACGAGGTCTTGATTGTTGTCTTAAAATAAAATGGCATTGCAGAATATTAAAAAAACAGAAAAAAATGTGAACTTTTGCTTCAAAACCAGTGTTCCTGCGAGGAAACAGGAAATATCAATCAAAACAGTGTTGCATACTCACTGTATGATTCTTCAAATTCTGCGCTACAACATTTTGAACCATACCACTGGCTATGTCCAGGAGATGATATCTTGTGTGTATTTGATGATGATGATGGCTGCTATCAGTGCTCTCTGAGCTCCAAGACATAATTTAATTGCGGACGATTTAAAAGCTTGTAATTAAACGAATGTTTAATTTGCGTATAGGCAAAAGAAATCTTACCTCTTGGAGAAGACATCCCATCATTATATCCCAAAAGAGACAACGGTACTCCGAATAACATGACGAAACAACGGCATATGAAACGATGAAACATTACGGTGCTCTCCGGATCTGATGTGGTTTGACTCAGCTGTCACTTGCCTGGGTGGAAGAACTGTGCTACTGTGGTAAGCTTTGTTCTTCTCTCCCTTTTTTGGATATCAATGCAGTTTATTGAGATCTTGTTTATCTTTTACATCGATTGAAATGCTCATTTTATTCCTGCGGACCTCGGCAGAATATCAACGTTTTCGGAATTTCAGAAAGCGAGGTGTTCGGTTCTTATTATTGCCCAACAGGAAAACGCTTATTACTGCCATTTACCAGGCGTTCTTTATGTGCAGTTATGATCTATTCCTTTCAACCAATATACTCAGCATCACGCCTCAAAATTT